TTGTGGAGAGTTCTTGGTTTCAGAAGTTTCCATCCATTGAGGTGAACTTCCTCAGAGTCGAGTGCTTGGTTGTCCAGTCCTGTTAGCCCCCTCACTCCCAGCCTTTCACTGGGGCTAGCACAAGGTAGGAAAAGCAGTCAGCCTTGCTCCTACTCTGAGAACTTGCAAGTCACCCAGAGCCTCAATTTCCTCCTCTGAAAGATGGGTTTCAGATCCTCACACTGCCTTTGAACAAGACAATGAATGTGAACGAGCCATGCAAGCTGTTGGTGCCATGGCAAGTTGGTCAGGCCTGAGCTTGGCAGGGTGGCTGTAGGTAGGGTTTGGATAGGAAGCTGTGGGGGAACACTGTGTGGCTACAGAAGCAGGGAAACAATGGGCTGATGTCCCAGCAGGAGAGCCCTGCCACTGAAACGAACAAAGCTAAGGGCCTGATGGGAATTCGTGTTACCCACTGTCAGACTACCCAGTGACAGGTCACACCCTCTGCTCTGATGCCTGCTTCTCACCTACCCATTGTTGCTGTAGCTCCCAGGTGCAGATGATCTAGCACCAGCTGCGCAGAATCACTTCTTCCAGGGTTTCTCATGCGATCAGGCCCAGGCTGGACTCACGCTAGCTAGCACAGTCTGTCACCCGCAGAGGCCCATGCATAGGCTCCTAGCACTGTCAAGTTCCTTAGCTCACCAGAGAGTGGACAGAGCACTCCCAGTTTGCAAATGTGAAAGCTGAGTTCCAAGAAGCAAAGGGCCTTCTGCAGACTCACCAAGATGGTTTATGGCAGGGATACCTCCCACAACATGAAGTTACCATTATGATTAGGAGTGGTAGTTGTCAGTATTCACGGTACACTGTTTACCTGCCTCCCTAAGCTCTGAAAACTTTAGCTCTATTCTCACTGTCCAGTATTTTTGAAACTAACAGTCTTGTTAGCTAGTATTTACTTTGCTCTCAGACTGAGTAGGGAGAACCAGCCTGCTGACTTTCATCAGAATTAAGCCAGGAGCCAGAGGGCCCTAGGGAGGAACACAGCAAAAAGCAGAAGCTTTGGATTCTGGCAGAGCTGGGTTGGAAGCCCCGCCCAGCTGGCCATTACTGGCTTTGTGCCTTTGTGTAAGGCACTTCACCTCCAAATCCTTCAGTTTTCACATCTATAAAATGGGGATTGCAGGTTATTATTTTCCAGGAAGTTGAGGACTAAAGAATTCTTAATAAACAGCCATCTGCTCCCTTCCTCCAAGTGGAAATGTCCCTAGTTATATATGCTAACATTCATGTGTTACTAGAAGACTGACCAATTTACTCTGGCAATTTCTGGAAGATACCTGACTGGGGTCAGAGCTGGGCTGCAGCCCTCTTCTGGCCTCCTGCTACTGGTCTATCCTTTTCTATTTCATCAGCCTAAACACAGCTCTGACATTTTCCACCAGCCAAAAGCCATACTACTTACTCCTTGAAAGGGTCCCTGGGAGCAACTGCTGAGAAACTACTAGCATCCCGGCTCCCAGTTAGACACAATGTACCACATTCAGCTTGTACAGCTGAAATGATCTGCAGGTTCACCTAGCTTGGGCCTCAGATTTTCAGCTGAGGAACTGGAGGCTCACAGAAAGGAAGGGGGTAGGGAGAGGAGGAGGGTCAAATACCACCATGGCCAGGTTGGGCCAGAATACAGATCTCCAGCTCATCAGTTTGAGGTCTCCCTCACACCTGGGTGAGGCTGCAGTTGGGGAGGGCTATCTCGAACACACACACCTTAAGCCTCCCCAGTTGAGGGGCAAGTACCCTTAATCAGACAGAGTAACACCAAGGGTAATATTCTTTTCTCCATATGCCCTCTCCAACACCTCTGGGGCAAGTTATAAAATACCCACTAGATCAGAGATTATCAAGCTGACCTAATTGGCTACGAGAAGAACTTCCACACTCATTGAAATCTTGGTGGTTTTCCTGCAGAGCAACTGTTTGGCCAGCTGAAGTTTAAGTCTGCTAGTAACTTGACTCCCTTTTCAAACTGTCAACACAGCGGTATCATCAACCTTACTAAAATTGATGTCAGCACAATGTAACAGGGCTGAAGAAAATCAGAAGGTCACAGCATTAAGGGTAGAAGAACCCCCTTTTGTGCTTGTCTCACCTTTCCCTGCCAATGGGGGGGGGTGTACTCTGAAAAGGAATGCTCAGAGACGGAAACAATTTGGCTCTCATGCCCCTATACAAGTTAGGAGTCCTACTAGTGGTGACTTAGGAGTGGGAGGGGTGCAGTGTCTTACACAAGATGGTCTGTGCATTTCTGGATCAGCAAGTGTCAGTCACGTCTGGGCCTGGATTCCTGTAGTGGGAATGAACTAAAGGTAAGAGCACACAACTGAAAACAAGGGTACGTGACTCCTAGGCTAGAATTTTTTTCATTATTTCACCAAGGGTTCTAGACCCTCTCCTGCTTCAGGTCCCTCATCTCTACAATGAGCAATGGTTTCAATCTTTTAAAGCATGGAATCATAACTTCAAATAAATCTTTTAAAGCATGGAATCATTACTTCAAATAAATCTTTTAAAGCATGGAATCATTACTTCAAATAAAAGCTGGAAGCAAACCCTCTCATCTCCTTCAGATGGCAGACAACTCCAAAAAAATGGTCTGCTCTGTGACTTCATCACCAAAAAGTTTGCTTCTCTGAGATTTTTCAAACATTCTTTAGCCAAGGGTGGCTGAGTCTCAAGTCTCTCCAAGGGTAGGGTCATATCAAAAGCTTCTGGTAATCCTAATTTTAAAAGAAAAACATTACATCCACACTGGTCACATGCAGGTTAAGCAACATTTTACACAAAGAAATATGCAAGAAAGGTTTGACTTTCAATAGACTCTAGAAGGGCCCCAGTTACTTTGGTCTCACCTTCCGATTCTCTATTTTCTCTCATTCTCTAATCATATCTGCCTATTTGTATCTAATGAACTCAGCAACTTCCTTCCAGAAGACTCCCTTCTTTCTCAGTTCCTATTTCTAAGCCCCATCCATTCCTGCATGTGTAGCACAAATTTTCCTTTCTAGGAAACTTCCCCAGTCCCCTCGTTGCCACCTCTCCAGCCTCTGAACTATGCTAACACTTACTTGAGCCTCGTTTCTAGGTCCTAGCAAACAGTACTCAAGTGTTGATGTCTTTTATTCCTTACTAGTACCATAAGCACCTCAGGCTGGCTTGTCTCTTTAAGCCAATTCCCTTCCTTCTTGCCCAGACAATGAGCCCGACACAATCTAGATGCTTGGAGGATGCTAAAAAGTTCTGTAAACTTGAAAAAAAAAAAAATCAGGAAAAGTAATCAAAGTTACCATGTTTGATATTTTAAAATATATGCAAAATCTTAAGGATACCTAGGCTACAGAAGAAACCATTTTACAACATATTGATAGTGTCAAATGGCGGATAAGGCCTCGTGATAGGGGAAAATAAAGTAATACCAATTATACAAGAAATCAAATTCAATTTTCTTGAATTTCTTTTGCAAAAAATAAACTCCATTTTAAAGCCTATGGAAGACTGATTTTAAAGTACAGGATTTGGGGGCTCCACTGATACTGTACAACAATTTAATTATACAATTTAATTATAAATTCAAATTAGATTAAAAAATTTCAGGTTACATCAAAAATTTCATCCATTGGCTGGGCGCAGTGGCTCACACCTGTAATCCCAGAATTTTGGGAGGTCAAGGTGGAAGGATTGCTTGAACCCAGGAGTTCAAGACCAACCTGGGTAACACAGAGAGACCTTGTCTTCACAAAAAAAAAAAAAAAAAAACAGGTGTGGTAGCAGTATTGTCTAAGCCCAGGAGGCTGCAGTAAGCCGTCCAACCTGGGTGACAGTGAGACTCCAACTCAAAAAAATAAGAAATATAGAGTTGAGTCTCACTCTGTCGCCCAGGATGGAGTGCAGTGGCACACTCACGGCCACCCCAGTGTCGACCTGCTGGGCTCTGGTGATCCTTCCACTTCAGCCTTCCAAGCAGCTGGAACTACAGGCACGCCCTACCACGCCCAGCTAATTTTTTGTCTTATTGTAGAGACAAGGTCTCACCAATTTGCAGGGACTAGTCTAGAACGGGTGGGCTTAGGCAATCCACTCGCCTTGGCCTCTCAAAGTGCTGGGATTACCCAGCCCAGACTCTTTAAAAACAAACAAACAAACAAACAAACACCAAAACTCATCCACTGTAGTAGATTTACTAAAACAATCCTCAAATCTCCCACTACAAAAAGCAGTATTGCAATGTAGTCATACAGCTATTTTCCTTAAATGGTTGAATCACTGAATATCCTTCACCTTCCCCAAATCCCTTCAAGATGTCTAAGAATAGAGAAAATTTCTGTCTTCTGGAAAAACTGAGCTGACCTCATGCAGTGCATACCCACTGCTCGTTGAGTTTTTTCACATGTCATTCCTCCTTAGCATGCCTGTCTTGATAACAAACCATACTCTGTTCACCCATCAGTCAAACCCTAAATGTTCCAGCCCTGGTGTGAAGTCCATTTTTTTCTTCAGACCTTCCTGTCAAGCAAGGGTCACAAAACATCAGTGCTACAAGAGACTTCAGAAGCTGTTTGGTCACACCCCCTCAATTTTACAGACTGGGAGGTGACCCAGAGGTCAACATAAGGGCACAGAGAAACGTGTCAGAGCTAGAACTAGAATTCAGATCTCCTGGGAGTCTGGTAGAGGTTACTGCTTTATACTATCTTCTTTTCCTTAATTCACCTATTACTTGAACCTAACATTATTTTACCTTTTTTTCAGGGGCCTCAGATATTCAATTTTGAACATTATTTTTTAAAAGTCTATTTCATTACTCCCAGTCGAGAACAAAGATTTAAATACTCAGATTCTACATACTTGTCCAATTCCTCTCAACAACCACTAATGTTAAAATGCCAGTTCTTTAGTGTGTTTTAACATGAGCTTACAATGAAGTCTAATTTAAAAATGTAAGCATACAACTAGGCTTTACCAAAGAGTAATGTGTTTATTTCACTTAAATTCTTAAAAATACTTTTTTGGGCAGTTGTCACATAAAATGTCCTAACGTTAAAAAAAAAATTGTTTTCATTAAAAAGAGAAGCATGAAAAAACAGACCCAAAATGTTAAGATTTTATTTACAAAGCTTTTTTGTTGTACAGAAAGTAAAAATGCTGTTACAATCTCAGTGTAACTGGTAGCCACAGACGGTTGACTCACCAATCACAGCTATCCACGCTACAGCAAGAGTCTTACACAAAAACCTAACAACGCTTACAATTTTGTTGGGTGAAGTCCCCACGCTTGGTAATGAATTACCAAGAGGGACTAAATGGAGGAAGGCGGAATGTCACAGGAACTATTCTTTGGCTCTTTGGGTGGGTGGGTGTCCTGGGGTTTGTATCACAGCTACCTTTTTTTTTTTTTTTTTAAACAGCTACCAATTCCATGAGCAGTCCAACCAATACTGAACAGTTCTGTTTCTGCAGGTCATTTAGGGTCTTAATCATCTTCTCCTTCATCATCTGTTTCTCTCTTCCTCTTTTCACCTTTCCCGCTTTCTTCCTCCTCTGTACAATAACAAAAATTGACTTTGAGATAGTTGGAAAGGCATTTTGCCTAATTATTGCTAATGGAGGCAGTAACAACAAACTTTTTAAGGGAGATAAATAAGATGTAAACTTGATCAGAACAGGTTACTGACTTAGAGGCATTAATAAAAATGAAATTTAAGTGGTGACCACAGAACCAAAAGGGCAAAATGCATAGCTGCTCAACTCACACAAATTAGCCCAGTTTTAAGTCTTCCCCCAAATGTTTATTTTTCTTACATTTGTTGGCCCCCACAATTAGACACCTAGCAATTATTAAAATGCCCAGCAAAAACTCTGGAGCTAGCTAGTCTGTTTTCAACTCATGCTCACTCACTTACAAGTGATCTTGGGTAAGCATAACCTTTTTATGTTTGGTTCCCTGTTTGTAAAATAGGGACAGTGGTACTGAAAGGATTATTCTGAGACTTTAAGACTCAAATTGTAGCAATTAACTAAAAAAGGGCTGGGTGTGCTGGCTCATGCCTGTAATCCTAGCATTTTGGAAGGCTGAGGTGGGAAGATCACTTGAGGCCAGGAATTCAAGACCAGTCTGGGCAGCATAGTGAGACTACATCTCTTAAAAAAAAAAAAAAATTAAAAATTAGCTGGGTATTATGGCATTTGCCTGTAGTCCCAGGGAGGCTGAGGTGGAAGGACTGCCTGAGCCCAAGAAGTTGAGGATGTGGTAAGCTGTGATGTATTAAGCTGCACTCAAGCCTGGGCAACAGAGTGAGATCCTGACCAAAAAACAGAGACAAAACCAAAAAACAGGCTAAAAAGGGATTTCTTAGAATATTTATGTATCTGAGACACAGAGACATACACATAGTCCCGTCCTTTAAACTAGTACAATTCCTGGCTTTCTAATAAAAGTAACTAAGTCTATGTTAAATCATGTTCCATGTCGTTCCTTGAAGGTAGTTACCAGGTCCTAGCCAGGGTGATATCTAGTGTAGTAAATGCAGTCCTGCACGGACCAATGGAAAGAACAGTAAATACCTGGTTCTCCAAGACCTAAACAACAATGAGACTGCACTTAAAATGAGTAGTAAATTAATAACAGCTATTTCACTAGTCTTGGTTGTGGTGGAGAAAGAAATAACACTGATAAAACAGGAAAGGTGTTAGTTATATCTATTTATACATCCTGAACGCGATGATCCAATCTAACTATTAAGCCCTTCTTTGTTTTTTTTTTTCCCAGTTGGAGTCTCACTCTGTCACCCAGACTGGAGTGTAGTGGCCGCTCCCGGCCATCGCAGCCTCGACCTGCTGGGCTCCGGCGATCCTTCCACCTCAGCCTTCCAAGTAGCTGGAACTACAGGCGCACGCTATCACGCCCGGCTGATTTTTTGATTTACTGTAGAGATGAGGTCTCGCTGTCCAGGCGGGTCTCGAACCTGCGGGCTCAGGCAATCCACTCACCTCAGCCTCCCAAAGGCGTGGGATTACAGGCTGAGCCACCGAGCCCGGCTGCTTTTTTTTTTAAAATGGAAAACTCCAAACACAGAAACCTCCATTAGACCAAATGATAGGGTCTAAAAATGCATTTAAAACATGGGGACTGCAGGCCAACAGAGCCCCAGCATACATGCAATGGCAGGACAAGACAAATGCTGTGTGTGTGAAGACCACTGGAGCTAAGGGCATTTTATTTTCTTCTCAGTAGTATCAACTTCTAGATTATGGATATTTTGATCTGATTTTTAACTAAAAACAACCAAAGTGTATGCATCAGGCCCACCTTCATCCTCATCCTCGTCTTCATCTTCTTCATCTTCATCAACTTCTCCATCATGTCCAAGATCCTCTTCCTAAAGAATGGCAAACAATACAACATCATTAGATTAACACCGCCAAACTGAGAAGTACAAAGGAAAATATACTTTGCAAATAAATCTAACAATACATCAAGGAAAAAACCATAATGTTATTCTTATCTACTTTGATGGTGTGAAATCTCGATTTTCCTTAATAAGTTTAATTTCATAATTTTTCTTATCTGCTCTTTCAGGGCGGGACCACAATTTCATTTAATTTTGCATTCCCAACTTTAACATAGTGAGCACATATTTACTGAATTAAATTGCATATACAAGAATAAGTTGAGACTTGGTAAACATACACCTCTTCCTTTCAATGCAATAAAGGAACAGACGTATACCATCAGTTCTCAACATTTTCAGTCTTCTCACCATACTGAATATTCAACTCATTACTTCCTCCCAAAGGGCCAAAACTGACCTTGCAGAGCCAGACACTGTGTCTAGTTTGTATGCAGTAGTAGTTACTTAAAGGCACAAAAGCTAAATTAACTGAACTCACATTATTAGTATGTTTGCAAGTATGCTAATTTCTTCAGCAAGTCTTTTCCTTGTCACCTTCTTTTTAAAACCACACTTTTGTTTTAATTAGAATAGGAAGGAGGGCAGAAGGTGGCTGCACTGACCTCCCCACTAACTTCTTCGTCTTCTTCCCCTTCTACATCTTCGTCTTCATCTTCATCCTCTTCATCATCAAACTCTTCCTCTTCACCATCCTCCTCCTCCTCGTCCTCCTCATCTTCTCCCTCTGAAAACAGCCCCAAAAGGAATACATTAAATATCTTTGAAGTTTCAAGGGGCAGAATCTGCTAAGATGCTGGGATCCCTTGGCTGGCCCACAGGACAAATACTGAGGCTGCACCAACACCGGGGAAGACCATGAACTGCAGTCACCGTCTTTCTATCATGTGCTATGTGGCTCAGCTCCTTTGTCCAGAGAGACTGATAAAGTCAGACAGCTAGAAGTCGTGGTGGACAAGCTATACACTATAATTCTTACTGATGAAACGACACAACAGCTGGAATTTGCTTCAAAATAATATGGAGGGGGGAAGAAGGTAGGGATCTGTAGGAATCAAACAAGATCAACTATGGCCAGTAACTGCTGAAGTTGAGTGAGGAGAACATGGAGGTTCGTTTTACTATTATTTCTACTTTTGTCAGTATCTGAAATTTTCCACAATAAAAAGTAAAAAAAAAAAAAAAATGCTGCTGCCAGGCCCAGTGGCTCATGCCTATAATCCCAGCACTTTGAGAGGTGGAGGTAAAAGTATTGCCTGAGTCCAGGGGTCTGAGACCAGCCTGGACAACTTGGCAAGACCTCGTCTCTACAATAAATAAAAAAAAATTAGCCAGGCATGGTGGTATGTGCCTGTAATTCCAGCTACGTGGAAGACTGAGGCAGAAGGATCACCTGAGCCTAGCAGGTGGAGGCTGTAGTGGCCATGAGTGTGCCACTGCACTCTAGCCTGGGCAACAGAGTGAGATTCCGACTTAAGAAAAAAAAAAAAAAAGCTCCTTCTTGAGTAATGATATCACGAGAGCCAGTGGTTCAAATCAGGACCCTGAGAGACACCTGTACCTCTTGTATCTTTACCCCAATTGCACAGCCCTCTAGTGCTTCTTTCCTCTGGGTCCTAGAGTTCACTCTGCCCTGTCCTGCCTTCTGGTCTCTGCATGCTCTTCCCTTCAGTTCTCTGCATGGCTAACTCTGACTCCACCTTGGATTGGAGTCACAGTCAACACCACTTCCTTAGAGTCTTGCTAAGCTTTCTAACCCCATGAGCCTCTCCCATGAGCACCTGGCATTTCTCCATTACAGCATACTTTGTTAACTTGTATTATTTATAATTTTAAAAAAATTCTCGTTCAGTGGACATACAGTAAGCTCCAAGAGGATAGGAAACCATGTCTATATATAGTTTGTAAACCACTATTTTCCAGTGCCTGGCACACAAGAAACGCTCAAATATTTGTTGGCAGACAGATCTTTGCTCTAGGATCTGCCCTCCATGCTCAAGAAATTTCCTTTATAGGTTCCTGCATGTGTGGCCATTCCACCTGTTTGAGGTGAAATGGTTTAAAAAAATTAAAACCTGCAGAAAGGAATGAGGGACACAAACAGTTGGAACTAGGTGAATATTTCATCACCTTATAACCCATTAACTTTTGTCTGTCTCAATCCACTGCAAAATCTTTAAAAATGCTTCTACAGTACTATATCATTCGTTGCACCCAAACTACCTAATGATTAGACAATTTCTATCTTATATGTTAATTTGGAAAGAAAAGACATGTTTAAAATAATGCTTCAAATAGAACAATACCACAAACTCCAGCAATATCAAGAATTCTAAGAGACCAAGTATTCCTCACACTGACAGATGTGAAAATGAAAGCTCTGCTTTCTCTAAGCCACTTGGAGGTAAGAAACCTTGGAGGTAAGAAACCTTTTATTCTAAGAGTGATTCATAGTAAATGAAATCAGTGTGCAAGGAAAACACAAGCTAACCAGGAGGAATACTTTGGGTAGAAAATATATAAAAGATTATTAAAGGCCAGGCTCGGCGGGGCTCAGCACTTTGGGAGGCTGAGGGTATTAGATTGCCTGAGCCTGCGGATTTGAGACTAGCCTGGGCAACTTGGCGAGACCTCATCTCTACAATAAATCAAAAAATTAGCCTGGCGTGGTAGCATGTGCCTGTGGTTCCGGTTACTTGGAAGGTTGAGGCAGAAGGATCGCCAGAGCCCAGCAGATCAATGCTGGGGTGGCTGTGAGTATGCCACTGCACTCCAGCCTGGATGACGGAGTGAGACTCCAACTCAAAAACAAACAAACAAACAAAAGATTCTTAAGATAACTACTATGCAAAAAGCCTGGATCAAATGTCAAATATATTGAAAAGTATATTTTAATTCCACGTGATAATCAAAGATAATTTACCTTATTAATGAAAAATGAATCTAACATATAGTACTTTAAAATCATTACTTTCTTAAACTCTAGTCATACCAATGGTGACAGGAAAAGTTATTTTATTTATATTTAGCTATAGTAAGTATCTACACTAAGTGCCAGGCCCTGAGAACTGAAATAAAAGTCTTGGCAGGGTATGGTGGCTCACGTCTACAAGCCCAGCACTTTGGGAGACCAAGGCAGGAAAACTCCTTGAGTCTAGGAGTTCAAGACCACCTGGAGCAACACAGCAAGGCCTCATCTCTGCAAAAAATAAAAATAAAAAAATTAGCTGGGCATGGCTAATGAATTCCTTAATGGATTCCTCTTTGGACTATTGCCAGAAGGAGAAGACGAGGAGGACGAGGAGGATGAGGATGGTGAAGAGGAGAAGCTTGATGATGAAGATGAAGATGTAGAAGGGAAAGATGACGAAGATGAAGTCCAGCTACTGGGGAGGCTGAGGAAGGAGGGTTGCCTGAGAACAGGAGGATGAGGCTGCAGTGAGTCGCAATCATGCCACTGTACCCCAGCCTCAACGACAGAATAAGACCCAGACACGCGCACACATACAAATATAAAAATAAAAAAGACGGTTTCTACCTAGGACAAATGTAGCACAGTAGGATGAGCTAAGAATAGAAGAGTGGCAAGCCTGTAAGAGTAAGCAAGGGGGTAGTCTGTTATACACAGTAACCTAACCTAGCTTGTGGGCATCAGAAAACGCTTCCTGGAGGTGCTGATAAAGCTGAATTTATAAGGATAAATAAGCAGTAACCAAGAATGCAGACAGCTAGGAGAAAGGCATAGATACATGAGACCACGGTTTTTGAGTCCACTATAAGTACTTTCATGGGATAGAGCACAGTCTATGACCTCTAGGCTCCAAGGTTGAAGAACTGTTTGCTAACAAACCATTTTTATTTTGAACCATTTGAAGGCTTCAATGTCCCAAGAACTAATGAAAATTACAAAGATCTTAGTTCCAAATGTAATAGGATGCCACATGCACATGTACAAACCATTCTCAACAGTAAGAGCGTCTATGGCTAGGTGTGATGGCGCATGCCTGTAATCTTAGCACTTTGGGAGGCCAAGGTGAAAGGATTACTTGAGTCCAGGAGAAGTTCAAGATCAGCTTAGGCAACAAAGCAAGCTCATCTCAAACAAGGTCAAAAACTCAGCCAGGTGTGGTAGTGCACACCTGTAGTCCCTGCAACTTAGGAGGCTGAGGTAGAAGAATCACCAGAGCCCAGAAGGCTGAGGCTGTGGTGAGCTGTGATCATGCCACTGCCCTCCAGCCTGGGTGACAGTGAAACCCTGACTATATATACAAATATAAATAAACAAATAATTTTTTAAAAATCCAGCAGCTTTTACCAGGACCTTTGAAAGGCAGAAATCAATTCATTGGATGCTGAGCCTGCTCACCTTCATCCTCCTCCTCTTCATCCACACCATCCACCTCAGCATCGGAGTCAGGGGCTTCCTGGTCCTCTCGGTCGTAGCCATCCAGGTAGGTCAGCTGGGGCAGGAGCTTGAAGACACTCTCTCGGTAGTCATTCAGGTTAGTGACCTCACAGTTAAAGAGGTCCAAGCTTTTTAGACATTCCAACTTTTTCTGAAGGATCAAAAAACACAATTCCTAAATCAAAGGAATATAAGCAGCAGAACCCATTCTCCTGAAGAAGTAAAATTCTAGGTACTATATTCAAATAGCTGTTCCCCACTCAGCCTGTACATAGGAAAACATATCAAGTCCTTTGGAACCTTTATATTAGGTTACTAGACTTTAGTCCCTCTCATCCTACATCTACCCTCCCAGAGAACTATGAGTTTTTCCGGCAACATTAATAGTTTAAAATGTAAATTTGAAATAATTTCTTAAATTAAAACCGAATCTTTTCACAGTATGAAATGATCAAATAATTTAACAAATTCAGTTCAAACTTAATTTTAACATTTGAGTAATCAAACAGACATTAAGCACCTGCTGGGTATCAAGCAGTCTTTAATGCTCTGAAATAGTAGTACGGGAAAAATTCAGAGATTTATAACAGTCAATCTCAAGGTGCTTACAATCCAACTTGGGACACAGCCACAAATATTGAAGGGTGGGATATCATAAAATACCAAGTGTGGCAATGCAGCTATTTTCAGGGAAGACAGAAGTCAATATAGGCTAGGGAAAAGGAAATAAAGGGGAAATAAAGTTGAAACTTCAGAAATACAGAGAAACATTATACTCTTCTTCTTTTCTAATTTTTTGTGGGAAAAAGAATGACATACTACCAGACTTTTATGGTATAAAATTCTTCTGATTTTACCATACCTTGAATTTTTGGTTGCAATACCTCATGTTTGGAACCATCAAATTTATCTATCTATAAACAGTTAAAATTTAAAATCTTGGCCAAAGAAAAGTTTTCTGAATAGCCAAAGTGCATAGAAAAATGGCTATATATTTTACTTAGATCTTCATTTGTTATTGTATCAGTGTACTTGCATCTCAATCCCAGGTCTATTGAGTTTTTGGTTAAGGGTGATAACAGACTGTGAAGGGCAGAGGCACTACTATTATAGGAAAGTCAGGAGACAGGAACAGGAAGTGACAGCAGACCCTTGTAGGTAGAAGAGGGAATAGCCTATAAAAGGCAAACACGAAAGGTGAATCATAGCCTGGTACCTTTTGGAATAGGGACAATAAGCCTCAAGTGCACATATCTACAAAGCTTCATAAATCTAATTTTTAGTGGTTCTGAATCAAGAGAAAAAGCTTGATATTCTTTAAGAAACTAGTATTTAAAAAAACAAAACAAAACCACAAACAAACATTAAGAGGATCTCCACATGAAATAAGTTATAAAAATTAAGTGTTGACACTTAAAAGACTGATGCTTTTACAGGAAAGCAATTGCAACATTCACAAGGACCTGGGAAGAAACGCAGACAAAACAAAACCTTGTTTTCAGGACTTGGGGTATTCTAAGAAGATACAAAATGTGAAAATATGCCTTAAAGCTCTAGAGCAGGGCCTGGCAAACTGTAGTCCACTGGCCAATTCTGGCTTACCACCTGTTTTTGCAAAATAAGTTTTATTAGAACACAGCTGCACTCATCTGTTTTAAGTATAGCTCCTTTTGTGCTACAATGGCCAAGTGGAGTAGCTGTGACATAGTCTATATATATGGGCTATAAAGTCTAATATATCCACTACCCAGCCCTTAGAGAAAAAGGTTGCTGACTCCTGTACATGAAGAAACTAGGATCTCACACTTGTTTTATTCAGGCAGGGAACACAGAACAGGGTTATAGCAACAGGCAAATGTTGTACCTCTCAAAACACAAATGTACAATTATCTAAGAGTTTATGGATCAAATGATGTGCTTATGTAAGTCAGTTCCCTGATGTCTTAAAAGAAAGCTGTTCCCAGTCCTCTGGTAGTAGGGAGAGCTGTTTTTGTATCGTATAACTTGTAACTTTCAGATTAAGTTCCCTTCTGGTCAGGCCCTAACTATTAGAAGCCCAGGTATGACTTCTTGTCAAAGAGAGAAAAAATGCTGCAATGTCACTCCCAGACAACTAGCTACCATACTGGCTTTCTCTTCACAAAGGCTGACTTCTATACTAGCTAAGATACAACCATAAGTAAATTCAGGCAGCTTTCCCAAATTTTTCAGTCTAAAGATTCTCCACTTAAAAGAAATGAGCCATATACATCTCAAAACTGCTTCCTAGGAATGAGCACATAAAACCATATATAACCTGATATTTATCTAATGCTACCCAAAGCCCCTTCTCTATCTAGTTTTATTGACTATTCCAGTATGTACAGCCTCTAAGGCTCTCCTGTTTCTGAAACTATATGATTATGTGAGACTTTTGACTATTTCCTGACAAAGCACCCATCAAATAATTTGGACACACCCATCAGTAGGCTAGAAAGCAAAACAAAAATAAACAACAACTAAAAATCCCAATAACCATAGTACTCTGGAATTGTTTAAAGTAGTAAAATTGTGCTTTAAGGCCCAACAGGCACAAGATATATACACAAATTATTCAGGATCCCAAGGAAATGTGTAAATACCGCTAAAAAAATTACAATTCTATCATACCAGAAATTTGATGTATGCTACTAGGCTAGCCATAATAAACATTAAACATTTTATTAACAATAATTTTGCTTGCCTTCTTAGAATTTAGAAGGGCTTTGGGGGATGGTTTGGATGGCCCAGGTCTCTTAAAAAAGGTGTCCAAGGAAGTTTGAATTGATGCCTTCTTTGTCTCTCGATTAATGTCCCTGTAGCAAGCAGAGGCATTCACAATCATTGCATTGACTGTAAGAACTGGGCTCAAAGTAGACGGTGTTCAAAATGTATGCGGTTAATGAGGATGAGGATGGTGTTTTTCCCCACTGAAGAATACTTTCAGAAGCCACAATGTACCCAACCATTTCCCCCCTTCACCTCCTTCTACAGATGTACTTTATTCTAAGTTAGAACTTCAGGAGACCAACCTAGCACTCCCAGAAATCTGAAGAGCAAGTACAGCAGAATGGTGGGAGCCCAGGCTTTTCCAAACAGTCCTGGTATGTACCACTGTGGCTCTGCCACAGAGTGTGTGACTCCGGACAAGGGATTCAGCCTCACCCAAGCCTTAGCTTCCTCAGTGTAAAACAAGGGCCATGCTATTTCTGCCCATTTTGTAGCGATATTTTCTGACAATTACTAATAACATAAAGTACCCAATACAGTGTATGGGTATAGTAGATCCTCCAAAAATGGTAATACAGTGGAGATTTACTTCTCATCTTTCACTATTCCGGGGGACTGGACTGTCAGAGCTACCAAAAGGCCTTCAGACATTACTGACCAGATCAGGAACATTCAAGCAAACAACTCCCACACAATATTTGTTTCTGCTCCATCTCTGTGTGCTAGAACACTGACAAAGTCTTCTGTTATCAAAGAAGACTCAGGTTGCCACAATAATTAGGCAAGAGCCAGTCATCTAGTACGAAGAGGTACTGCCTAGTACTCTGTTCTAACAACAACAAAAAAAAAATAGGGGGTGCCTACGCTCACAGTGACCCAGAATTGATAAACCTCTCATTAACCAATAAACAAAGGTTTAGTGTAGCCCATCTGACTATGAGAACATCAGTACTTAATTTAGTGCCCCTGTTAGAATTCCCAGCTTAGGGAAGTCTAGGTATGGAATAAATTTATAGGTGGCAAGAATAACAGGTCCCAAGGGCAGTGGAAAAAACAGGGGACTTGTATTTGAATTCCTACTCTACCATTTATTCTGAGCAATTATTACATTCTGTAAATGCAGCTTCCTCATCTCTAAAAGCAAGACAGTCATTCTCTCTTCTCTGGGTTATATAAGGATACAATGGGCAAATGTTAATGTCCTTGGATACAGCCAAATTCAATAAATGTCTGCTTAAACATTGGAAATGGGGGTAGGTTTGGAGGAAAAGAATGGAACTAGTAAAAATTAGAGTTCAAGTATCTGAGCCTATTTATAACGGGAAAAAAGGGTAAAATTCATGGAGCACGAGTGAAAAATAGGCTCTCAACATTTATGAGAAATATGAGCTCTTAAATATGGTCCACTTAATAAAATATAAAATTAAAGACTCTAAAAGGCGATTAAATCTGTACTGGCGCAGAGTCTCAATTATTGTTTAGGAAGGAGAAGATCCTCTATTTTATTTTTTTGAGTTGGAGTCTCACTCTGTCGCCCAGACTGGAGTGCAGTGGCTGCTTCCAGCCACCACAGCCTTGACCTGCTGGGCTCTGGCAATCCTTCCGCCTCAGCCTTCCAAGTAGCTCTACTTTAATATACTGTGACATCAGAATAGAAACAACAGAGAAGAATGTCTTATCCTCTTGAATCTGTTCTTCTGGATCCTGAGAGAGAATTCCTATCTGCTGTGTAACCCTCTCCCAAAAAGCATAGCCTGTGGGGCTTCCCCATAGCTTGCATTAACCCCTGCCTCTTCTCCTGCCTCTGGAAGCTCTTTTCTGGCCACTACAACTTCCACACGAACTAGACTCCCCCCACCTTTAGCACAGCTTCCCAACTTACAAAGCAAAGTAAGTATATTACCTTATTCTCAGAACCCTTATGTCAGGTAAGGCAGGGACTGTTGTCCTCCCTGCTTCATAAATGAGGAAACTGAGGCCCAGAGAGAAGAAGCAATTTGCCCAAGGTCACACAACAAGTCTACAACCCAAGTAGTATTTAAACTTGGCTTTCCATAGCTTATCCCAATATACAAGACTGAGGAAGGTCTTGAGGTTTCCATGCAAACTTTAAGCAACAGTAATCCAGCTATAGCACAGGATCATGAATTAGAAGACCTAAAACTTATCGGAGGTGTCCCTGTTTCATTTACAATCAGGTATGCTACCCAATATAGTCTTTTCTGTTACAGTATAAAAGTACATAATGGCTTAACAATCTGGCAGAAAAAAATTTAAGAGACATGTTAAAGGCTATCGTCAATATATGCATTTAAAAAATGGACCAAATCCAACACCAAACAAACACCAAAGAATTCCCTTTTGAAGGAAACCACCACAGTATCAGGCAGGGAGAGCAAAGCCACAGAAATACACACAGAGAGGCCCAGATCTTTAAAATCAGAACTTCTATAAAAAGTAAAAAGCCATCACTTTCTCAACTAATTATAATTCCCAATAATTTCCCTCACTATAAAGAAATATGAAAATGAAAATGACCAATAAGTCCCAGCTTCCAAATTCTCGATTACTTACCAAAGGTTCCAAGGTGCTGATATCTTTCAGTTTATTTCCACTTAAGTTTAGATGTCTGAGATTTGGAAGTTTTTCTGCTAACATATCCAGACCTCCATAGATTCTATTGTCACTGAGCTCAAGCTGCAAGAGAAAATATACACAGCACACACACAATTAAAGAGAAACACACATCATTAAGGTGTTATAAACAGCATATACAGTTCTCAAATACCTATCAAGATCAAATTATCCTCTTTCTATGAAGGCATGTACATTTATGTACATTTTGTTTGATTAAATCCAGACAAGTAGTTTAGAGATCCCAGCAACATTTAAGATGAGGGAGACTAATTAAAAGACAGGAGAGGGTGAGAAGTGTTGTTTTAACCATCTGCTGATAACAGTTTGCTGGGAAACTGAATCTTAACATTAGTGAATGCATTTTCTAACTTAAAAAATATGGGTCAAACCAAATTAGAATTCTTTGAGAAATTGTAATACTATATACCTGCCCAGGAAGGGTAAATAGTCTGTGCATTCTGAGCAGCTTAGTTTGTGTGCCAAGCAAAGCTCACAATGCCCACTTGAAACCTAATCCAGTTCTGACACATACCATGGTGTTCTACACCTGGAAGCCCCAGGGAACGTTGTTCTGAAGGCCACAGGAGAAGGGACAGGCCCTAGAAACGAGGTCATAAAGAAGCTCCCTAAAAGGGAGTGGGGCAACAGCCTCGGGTTTATGAAACCAGCTCCCTGGAGGCCACTTCTTGCATAAGCCTGGCACTAGCCCTTATTATAACTTATTCTAATTTCTTAGCTGCAGGCCAAGTAGTGCATGCAAGTGGTGTGCCAACGAAGGAATGAGGCTTCACCAAGGAATATTAGAATCTTAGAGCAGAAGAAATTGGAGCCCAAATAGCACTGTGGAAAACATCTAATTCGAGTTCTTCCTTTTGCAGATGAGTTGGTTCCACTTCTCTATTTTAAAGTGGTAACAACAATAGTAACTGTATTTCTTTTTTTTTCCTCTCTTTTCTGTTTTTTGAGTTGGAGTCTCACTCTGTCGCTCAGACTGGAGTGCAGTGGCTGCTCCTGGCCACCGCAGCCTCGACCTGCTGGGCTCCGGCGATCCTTCCACCTCAGCCTTCCAAGTAGCTGGAACTACAGGTGCATGCTACCATGCCCGGCTAATTTTTTGATTTATTGTAGAGAAGAAGTCTCGCCAAGTTGCCCAGGTGGGTCTCAAACCCGTGGCCTCCCAAAGCACGGGATTACAGGCTGACCCACCGAGCCCGGCCTGTATTTAACTCTTACACAGAACTTCAGCATACAGTTTAAAGCACTAGAAGTTTATCAACTCATTTGATTTTACAATAACCCTATGGAATAGATACAGTTCTCACCCCCATTTACAGATGAGGAAAAATAACTACAAAGAGATGAACTACATAACGTGCCGAAGATTACACAGCTGTTACAGTGGCAGGTCTATAATTTGAAGACAGTCCAGGCTAGTTTCATAAGTACCCATGACCTTCCCATTATGCTATGTATGTAAAATAGTAGAAAAACTCCATGTAATGAAGCCTTTGGCATGCAATAAATTAAACTATGTGATGCAGAGTAGACCAATCTCTAAAAATTTAAATATATGTTGAAAAAATGAATTAAAAACAATTCAACCGCTTAGGTATTATTAAATGTTTCAGAAGACAAAAAATGCAGCACTACAAAACATTTTTTCAGTCGGGCTCGGTGGCTCAGCCTGTAATCCCACGCCTTTGGGAGGCTGAGGTGAGTAGATTGCCTGAGCCCGCGGGTTCGAGACCCGCCTGGGCAGTGAGACCTCATCTCTACAATAGATAAATTAAAAAAAAAAAAAAAAAAAAAAAATCAGCCGGGCATGGTAGCGCATGCCTGTAATTCTAGCTACTCAGAAGGCTGAGGCAGAAGGATCACCGGAGCCCAGCAGGCGAGGCTGCGGTGGCCGGGAGCGGCCACTGCACTCCGGTCTGGGTGATAGACTGAGACTCCAACTCAAAAACAAAAAACAAAACATTTTTTCATTATAATGGAACAGCCCAGTCAATATCTAGTCATGATGGAGATTTAAAAATACAAATCTAGGCCGGGCTTGGTGGCTCAGCCTGTAATCCCAGCACTTTGGGAGGAAGAGGCAAGTGGATTGCCTGAGACCATGGGTTCGAGACCCACCTGGGCAATTTGGCGAGACCTCGCCTCTACAATAAATCAAAAAAATTAGGCGGGTGTGGTAGTGCGCACCTGTAATTCCAGCTATGTGGAAGGCTGAGGCGGAAGGATGCCTGGAGCCAAGCATGTCGAGGCTGTGGTGGCCAGGAGCGTGTTTCTGCACTCCAGCCTGGGCGACAGAGTGAGACTCCAACTCAAATAATAATAACAATAACAAAAACAAAATAAAATAAAAATTATCTGGGTGTGGTAGTGCACACCTGTAGTTCTGGCTATTAGGAAGCCTGAGGCAGAAGGATCGCTGGAGCACAGAAGGTTGTTGCTGGGGTAGCCATAAGTGTGCCACTACACTTCCAGCCTGGGTGACTGAGTGAGACTCCAACTCAAGAAAAAAAAAAACAAACCTAACTGGGCATGGAGGCTCACGCTTATAATCCCAGCACGTTGGGAGGCTGAGGCAAGAGGACTGCCTGAGCCCAGAGGTTCAAAACTAGCCCAGGCAACTTAGCAAGACCTCATCTCTACAAAATAAATTTTAAAAAAGCCAGGCGTGGTGGCACACATCTGTGGTTCCAGCTACTTGGAAGGTTGAGGAGGAAGGACTGCCTGAGCCCAGCAGGTTGAGGTTGTGGTGGCTGTGAGTATGCCACTGCACTTTAACCTGGATGACAGACCAAGACTCTGAATCAAAACAACAAAACACTATAAGCAATAAATATATATATATTTTTTTGAGTTGGAGTCTCACTCTGTCGCCCAGACTGGAGTGCAGTGGCCGCTTCTGGCCACCGCAGCCTCGACCTTCTGGGCTCCGGCGATCCTTCTGCCTCAGCCTTCCAAGTAGCTGGAACTACAGGCGCACGCTACCACGCCTGGCTAGTTTTTGATTTATTGTAGAGATGAGGTCTCGTCCAGTGGCCCAGGCTGGTCTCGAACCCGCGGGCTCAGGCAATCCACTCATCTCAGCCACCCAAAGGTGCGGGATTACGGGCTGAGCCACCGAGCCTGGCTAGCAATAAATATTAAAGTGTTAGCTTTATTGGTGATTTTAGTAAGTCAAAATAAAGAGACCACTTTTCTTATCTCTGTTTAGACCCTGTGGTTAGAATATCACAAACATGTATTATTATATACTTTCAATGTGAATCTTAGGGAATTGGACTTAGAAGATAATCCACCAAATCACTTAGCATATTTTCAAACAAAATAAATGTATAAACTTAGAAAATTCATGACATTCATATACCAATTTTTTTTTCCCAGTATTTATTTCCTGTTCAAAACAGTTTATGTCTGGGATAGGAAGAAAATAAAGTCTTTATCAGCCATGAGAATACTCAATCTACCTTTAAGTATGATTTCCCATCATTAGCCATATAAAGAATGTGATTAATGTTTAAAAACTTTTGAAAGATTAGATAAAGTCCCCATATAAGTGGTCACTGATAAAGTGACTTTCTGAAGAAGTCTGACAGCACAGAGACCACAGTAATTCAGGAGAAAATATGTCAGGATGGTAGGAAAACAGAACACAACACACTAACGAGCTACTAGCATCAAGTTTATGTAACTAGGTACTAAAAAGCCAGCTAACCTATCTTTAACTGGGCTAACCAAAGCTTCAGATGTCACCGATAACTGATGCAAATGTACAAGGATTATACTTGAACCTCTAAAGTAGATACTGTACTTAGAAGAGGGAAATTTCTTTCTCGTCAGAAAAATATTGTCACCTGAAACTCATGAGGACTGCCTGAGCATTTATTACCTAAACAAGGAAAACAAGAAAAAGGCAACACTTCTGGTTTTTCATGTAACATAACCAAAAAACCCTCCAAGCCCCCTTTAACTCAAGCAAGCTCCAGAACAACGTATTTCACCTTTGACTAAATTTGATTGTAAGTTTCTTTCTAGTGTGCCTTGCTTTAAACAAAGCTTCCAGTTTCCTAATGAAATGAATATTGAAATAGCAGAGAATTCTCAAGGTTTATATAATCACACATCTTTTCCTAAGTAACAGAAAAGGCACTGGGTTAGGAGATATGGGTTCTAGTTTTGGCTCTCGCAGTCACTACTTCTGTGAGCGGCTTTAGGAAAATGACTATACCCTGCTGGGTCTATTGCTGTGCCTATATAGCAAGAGGCTGGGCTAAAGGATCAAAAGTTTCTTCCAGCTCTGACATTCTGGGGCTCTGTGACAGTTAAATGTGCAATGACAAGAAGAAACATTTTTCTTTAGCATTTTTTGGAAGGGGGATAGAGAATTGGTTATAATTGGACCTGTAAAGCACTAACAATGGGCCATCAACTAGTACAGAAAAATATAGCATCTTTGTTATACTGAATTCTTCTACTCAATCATAACACATTTCAAACTTCCTAGCCATCAGAATTACATAATGGGTTTGAATGATCACAGACTATCTGAAAAGTCTTTACTTAAACTCACCCTTAATCAACAGACATAAAACATCAAGAGTGGGAGGCAATTGTGGTTCTGGAATTAGAGCACACTAAGAACAAAAGCTAGTTAACATCATAACAATAAATTTATAACAATCAACAAATAAGTTACAAAACACAGTAATTATTCTTCATAACTACTATTTATTGCTCATCTGACATGCATTATTTCCAAACATCACAGCAATTCTGCAAGGCCAAGTGATACCACTAGTTTACAGGTGAAGAAATTGGGTCTTCGAGAGATTAAATAACCAGCAGAAGATCACCCATCAAGGAAATTATAGAGCTGGAATTCAATCCTTTATGTGCCTAGTTCCAAGGCCATGTGCTTTCTGCTATACTAAGTGCTTCCTTACAGGTAAAATCATATATTGTCCCTTTTCTTTCTCTTTTACTGTTAAAGAAAAAGTACTTACCTTTTTCAATTTAGGCAGCTTGGGAAGATTTGAAACTGAGATCAAGCCTACATTTATTAAACTGAGGAACTCTAAGTTCACAAATTCAGCTGTTAAGCCCTCAATTTTTCCATCATTTGATTTGCAATTGTCCAAGACAAGTTCTCGAACCTGTGGATGAAAAGAGAAAAAGGGACAAGCTTTCAAAAACGTATCGAAAACTACAAAGCAAAAAACTCTTACTACAAGCATTGCAAAAATATCCACATAAATATGGGCAGCCTCTTACTTAGAACTAGATAATCATTATAAATAAATAAAAAATGATTAAGCCTTTAGTAGCAATACACTAATAGATTCAAAGATAGAATGTTACTTCAGAGAATATTTACACTCTTTATTTTCCAGAAAGAGAAACCGTAGTCTTTAAGACACAAGTGAAGAACGTGTATCCTCATTCCTTTTCCCAAGTCTGTTCTCTAAATGCAAACGGAGTGAAGACATCTTTTTAGTCTAAGTCTACCTTAGGGCTTAGAAAATCACAGGAAAAGAGGAAAGTTTTGCTCTTCTTGTCAAGATCAGTAAGATATTCTGGCTAGGTTTTATGCACTAACCCACTTTCTAACTCTGGTTTTATTAATCTTTACCAAGATTATCTTGACACTGGAAGAAATCAAGATACACAAGTCCTTAATTCAAAACAAAGATCAGTCTGGGCTATATGTGAGAAAAGCATTATTCTAGGTTACCTTTTCAGAATTCAAATCCATCCAAAGGATCACGCTGAATGATTTAATAGTCTACTGTGCACAGCTACCATGATAATCCCTATTGCCATTCTTGCTCTATGGTCACTCTGAAACTTGCAACTTTTTAACCCACTTTGATCTTCTCATGGTAATGCAAATTACAGTTTTAACTGTCCCACAAAGGTGTTCTTTTTTTTTTTTTTTGAGTTGGAGTCTCTGTCGCCCAGACTGGAGTGCAGTGGCCGCTCCCGGACACCGCAGCCTCGACCTGCTGGGCTCCGGCGATCCTGCCGCCTCAGCCTTCTGAGTAGCCGGAATTATAGGCACATGCTACCACACCCAGTTGATTTTTATCAAGCATGTATATGGAAGGCAGATGTTGATAGTCTGAAATGAGAATAGGAGCTATTGCCAATGTCTCTGTCACCCCATACAAAAGCCAATGATGCTACTTTAGCAAATGTTACAAACTGTGGAGTACCTACTCATTATCCTTTGTACCAGCCCCCTCCCCATTTACACAGGACACAGACGCGTCAGCCATATTCACAACACTGTAAGTGCCTCACCACTTCTCATCAACCTCTCTACTTCCTCTTCAGAAGCCAGGCGGCCTACTTCTTTACAATCGTTTCTTCCCTTCCTTTCTCGTTTCTCCCGTACCTCTGCCATTCTTCCTTTTTATGACAAGAAATTAGCAAATTTGAAAACTCAAGAGGTCAACTACAGCAAAGGCTGGGCTTTTTTTTTTTGAGTTGGAGTCTCACTCTGTTGCCCAGACTGGAGTGCAGTGGCCGCTCCCGGCCACCGCAGCCTCGACCCGCTGGGCTCCGGCGATCCTTCTGCCTCAGCCTTCCAAGTAGCCAGAACTACAGGCGTGCGCTACCACACCCGGCTAATTTGTGATTTATTGTAGAGATGAGATCTCACCAAGTTGCCCAGGCGGGTCTCAAACCCAAGGGCACAGGTAATCCACTCACCTCGGCCTCCCAAAGCATGGGATTACAGGCTGAGCCATCGAGCCCAGCCAAAGGCTGGGCTTTGTAGACAGATGCTGCAGTTTCTGTCACTGCTCTGTTTTGCCACTCAGAACCTGTGTAACCTTGGGCAAGTCACTTAACCTCTCTGTTCCTCAGTTTCTCATAAATGGGGATAATGGTACCTACCCCATGAAGTATAGAGAGTAGCATCTTGGACAATGTAAATGTCCAAAAAGTAACCTCTGGGGAAAGGGAAATGTCAGAGACTTGCTGTTTATTCATATCTGTACTAAGTTGTTTTACAAGCATGTATTTCTCCTGTTTTTTGTTTTTGTTTTTTTAAACTAACCGGGTGCAGTGGCTCATGCCTGTAATTCCAGCTACTTGGAAGGCTGAGGTGGAAGGATCACCGGAGCTCAGCAGGTTGAGGCTGCAGTGGTCATGAGTGTGCCACTGCACTCCATCCTGAGTGAGAGAGTGAGACTCCAATTCAAAACAAAAACAAACAAAAAAGCAGGAAAAAAGCAAACTAAATATAAGAGAACCAACCCATTAAATTAAAAAAAAAAATAAAGAGGCCAACTGCAATTGCTCACCAACCTCAGCAGCTTACTGCAATACCATTAAAACACTCCCACTTGGTTTGGGAGGTTTTCTATGACTCTCTAACAGAGGATTCCAAAATGTTATACAAAATGACACTGACATGCCAAAAGTGAAGTGAAGAAGAATTAGACAGCTAGCCATAATGCCTCCCAGTTCAGAGTCAAATCACCTCTTAAGACATTTCTCTCAACTGGCAAAATTCCACTTTAGTGACTGCACTGCAATGGATCATCAAAAACTACCACAGAGCATTCAAACGTGGGTGAGAATGTGTTTGCTGAACCAAACAGCAGAATAGGAATCAAGAGGAAATAGGGGGTGGGGGGTAGAAGACAGGATAAGTTAAAGGTTTCGTTGTTGGGTCTAGAAGATGATGGAAAGGAATTAAGGTTCTGATTTAGAGAACTGGGACCCATTTATCTAGATGGAAATAAGGAGTTATTCATTAATGTCACTATTAATATTTTTCAGTTTTTTTATTTATTAAATATAGATAAAACTATTAGAATGCCTTAAAATAATTTGGTGAATATTTTTTAATGACTAAAAGTACTAAAGTATATGGATTACCTTCAATCCTCCCTGTAGAATACCTGTTCCCAAATTTTGCTACATAAGGCCATGATACTTTTTTTTTGAGTTGGAGTCTCACTCTGTCGCCCAGACTGGAGTGCCATGGCCACTCCCGGCCACCGCAGCCTCGACCTGCTGGGCTCCGGCGATCCTTCTGCCTCAGCCTTCCGAGTAGCTGGAATTACAGGCATGTGCTACCACGCCCGGCTGATTTTTTGATTTATTGTAGAGATGAGGTCTCACTGCCCAGGCGGGTCTCGAACCCACGGGCTCAGGCAATCCACTCACCTCAGCCTCCCAAAGGCACGGGATTACAGGCTGAGCCACCGAGCCCGGCTCCATGATACTTTTTTTACATAAAATTTCTTCTGTATTTAAGGGTATTTCCTCAGAATCTATTGCTAAATATAAGAATATAAACACTTGAATCTGTTGAGTTAAGAGTTATTTAAAATGTCAACTCCTGTCGGGCTCGATGGCTCAGCCTGTAATCCCACGCCTTTGGGAGGCTGAGGTGAGTGGATTGCCTGAGCCCGCGGGTTCGAGACCCGCCTGGGCAACCTGGCAAGACCTCATCTCTACAATAAATCAAAAATGAGCCGGGCGTGGTAGTGCATGCCTGTAATTCTGGCTACTCGGAAGACTGAGGCGGAAGGATCGCCGGAGCCCAGCAGGTCGAGGTTGCGGTTGCCGGGAGCAGCCACTGCACTCCAGTCTGGGCGACAGAGTGAGACTCCAACTCAAAAAATAAATAAATAAAAATAAATAAATAAATAAAATGTCAACTCCTCTTTTAACACTTACTGTACAATTGTTTTCCAATTTGTTTGAATTTTAATTTTGTGACCTTTCTTGATTATGGAAATTTTAGGTAGTCGCACTTATCTTTTTCTTGAGGATATCGTCTATTGTTTTTATCCTAAGAGAAAATAAAGAATAAATACCCCAGAAGAAACACAGTGACAAGAATAAATACTACAGAAGGAACAGACAACCTGGGAAAACAGGAAGTCAGTAAACATTAAAAAAAACCTGTTCAACTACAAGTAATAAAAATGCCTATTGGAAATGAGGTATAATTCTACTCTTGCTGGAGATGGGATAGCTCTTCCTATGGAGATGGCTAGGATGAGTACAGATGTAGGTGAGTTTGTTAAGTGGGAGAGTAAGACATTCAGGGAAATTTCAAGACCTTTAATTTCCTCCACCAGTAAGAGAGGATGTCCTGGGATGAACAGGGCAGAGGACTGGTATGGCTAGACAGAGAAGGCCTATCCTTTGACTTTTCCTTTTTCCAGGAAGGATAAGAATGTAAAGTCATGTGCTACCTCTAAAACAGAGCTCCAGAAGCACAGTAAGAAAATGAGCTCCTAGGGAACGAGCAAAGAGCAGAGTGGGAATTACTGCACAAAGAAGAGACCATGGGAAGGTCCCACTTAGGGCTGTGCCCAGGTCTGAAAGTCCCATCAGCAGCCATCAAGTTATTTAAAGTTCTACTCAGGATTTCCATGAAAAGGTGTACTGTTTCTTTGATACTGTTTCAGAAGAGAAGTGGCATTTGAGGTATAGAAGAGGAAAACCTTTTCCTCTGCCCTCTCTGAATCAGTGAATAGTGACTGCAAATTAAACTGACAAGAGATTAATAGGAGAAAAAGTTTATTTATATGTGTACTGTGCATACACACATGCATGCATACTTAGTGATGAGTAACTCAAAGGAGTAGCTACAACTTGGGATTTATATACCTAACTTAGAGGAAAGCAGGGGAGGAGAAAAGCCTCCTTTGGGAAGGACAGGTCTCTTTAGGAAACATACATGGAATTTTTAGGAAAGCAAATGGGAGATAAGAAATTTTACAGTAATGTCCACACAGGTATGAGTGGTCTTTCCATCTGAAGGCTATAAAACTACCCCAGAGAGGAGATTTATGATGGGTTTACCTTAGTCTGTCTTCTGGGAAGAGATCCCACTCTGAAGACAGAATTTATAATCAGTCCTCATCTGTCAGAAGTGTTTGCTTTTAGTCAGATAAACTACTTGGTGTTTGAATCTCAAATGTCTTCAGTTTAAAATAATCTTGGCCAGGCTCAGAGGCTCAGCCTGTAGTCCCAGCACTTTGGGAGGCCAAGGCGAGTGGACTGCCTAAGCCCGCAGGTTCGAGACCAGCCCGGGTAACTTGGTGAGACCTCGCCTCTACAAGAAATAAAAAATTAGCGGGGTGCAGTAGCACGCACCTGTAGCTCCGGCTACTTGGAAGGCTGAAGTGGAAGAATCGCTAGAGCACAGAAGGTTGATGCGCGCCACTGCACTTCAGTCTGGGGGACGGAATGAGACTCCCAACTCAAAAAAAAAAAAAATCTTTACATCAACTCTGGGAGTTCTGAGTGGGTCCCACAAAGGTAACTAAATCTCCTCTCTTCCTCATTCCTTCTTGGGTATGAAGGGATTCAGACTGCCTTGCAGCTTTGGAAGAGGGTGGATGGGAAAGGGTGCATGGCTGGGCCAATATAATCCCACAGCCTTCCAATCCAGATCAAGAATAAGTTAGAGGTCCTACTCCAAAGAAAAAGGCCCCAGTTTCTTCTTACTATATCCCAAATCCTCCCAGAACTATTATCTAAGGTAGGAAGGTTGGGCAGGCACTTGAACCTTTGTGTGTACATTTTCGGGAGCTATTTGGTCCAAGACAGTTAGTTGGCCTTTAGCTTGAAGATGGATAATTTAACTTTTGGAGGCAAATTTACTCATCTTCTTCATTTCCCAATTAAGCTTACCTTTGCTCAAATGCAAATTAAAGGTAAACATTTAAAAACTAAAAAGAAAATTTTTTTCTATAGTTATCAGCAAAACAGTACTGTTTTCTACTTTTTTTAAAACTGGAAAACCCTGTACTATGTTGGGGCTAAATAGCTTTTCAGACCAAACTCGAGGACATAATATTCATGTATAATATTGTTTCTATGCAAAAAACAAAAACAAAAACATTTCAAGTTAGGCCATTCCTAAATGTCTGAGGCCTTCCTTTAAGTCATGATGAGTCACAGAATTCTAGGTCAAAGGAACAACTGGAGCTGGGGGCTGCAGGAGACAGAAGCTCTTCCTCCTTTCATCTTCTCCAACTTCCTCTCACTTGCCACTCTCCCAGCTACTCTGTTAAAGATCAATTTTGCCTAAATGGTTGGGGGACCCTCTCCAATTATAACAGTTATTTCTGCCATAAAAGGGGGGAAAGGTCTGAAGAAAGTAAAAATCATTTAAAGTCATCAATTCTAAAATGCAAAGTAATACATTATTATTGTTGTTGCATTATGCATTATTATTGTGGCAAGTGAAATAATCCAAAAGTACAGGAAGAAAAAGTAATTCCTGTCATTCTTGCAATTTCTATCCTTTGAATTAACTAATGGTCAAAATGACAATACAACAGATTTATATTAGTGGTTCTCAGATGTGTTTAGGTGGCAGAACTGTTGACACTGAGGAAGGAAAACACATATCCTGCTGGTGGGCAT